GATAAGCTTCATTCATACTGCTAATTATGATTTGGCAATGAAAATTAATTTGATTAATATGCACACTTACAGATCTCCTGCATGATACATGGACAATCAGGTTAATGAAATCTCTACTATTTTGGGCATCTAAGGGAATGAAATCTGATGTGAACCTTACAGAAGGTTACTTCTCTAGCAGGCATTAAGAACATTCTGAAATATGGTGACGTCTAGTGTGATTTAAGAGAATACCTCTTGATTAAATTATAATTTATGCTCCTTTTTGTTAGCTTAAAACATATAGCACTCAAATATGTATGATTTATGGACATTTCTGGCACCTTAATTCTTCCCATGTCAGTTTTATTTATGTTGGTCTCAACAGTTAAAAAGAGAGCTGGTCTGGTTTTAGCAGAGGAGAAGGTAAGAACACTGGCCAAGTCCTGAATATATACTTGCAGTTATTTATTTTAATATCTTCCCACTTTTTTCCCCTAATAGGATATCATGTTATATTCTAACAGCAACATTTCAGGGTTATTATACCTTTTAACACAGGTTAAATTGGAAAATTTGAAGAGAGACATAAAATTACCTACTTTCTATGATTATGAAACCACTTAGTAGAAAACACCAGTGACATTATTTTTATTCAAAGGACAATATAAAAATTGGGGCACTGGAAAACTATTTAGGAAATGCAAATTTTACCATAATGAATAATTTCAATTACATTTTTCTATGTAAGAAAAATAAAATGCAGAGATTCTATGTATTGTATACGTTAGAAATTCACTTCAAAATAATGTAAAAATTTGGAATGAAACCCAATCTTATCTAGAAAATTAACACATTGGAATTGATGACTAATTTCTCAAAGAAGGCAAAGAAATTAAAAATGACATTTGAAGTACATTTAGACATAATGCTGTTTCTTTTTTCCTCTCACTTTATTAAGATATCATTAACAAAGGAAGACTATATATTGGAGATACACAACATGATGTTTGGACTCAGACATTATAAAAACACATATACGAAGTTGTCTGTGTTTTCTCATAGCTCACTGATCTTATTTAAAACAATTATTCTGAATTCTTTGTCAGACAGCTTGTGGATCTGCATTTCTTTAGGATTGATTACTGGTGCTTTATTTTATTCCTTTAGTAGTTTCAGGTTTCCCTGTTTATTCATGATTCTTGTGGTATGTTGGCATCTGTGCATTTGAAGATATAGGCAGCTATTCCAGGATTAATATTCTGGCTTTGATAGAGAAAGCCCTTTCCTAGTCAGCCTGGCCAGAGGATTCTGGGTGGCTCAATGGTCACAGCCCATGGGCAGACTTGCCCATTACTTGGGTTCTGCCCAGCCTGGTTCCTGGGCATGTGGATGAATGGGCCTGCTTTTAGAGTCCAGCTTGAAGCCTGGTTCCACTAGGGCTAGTGAGGGGCTGTGTTGGGCCCAGAGCCTGAAAGGTAGGGGTCAAGTTTGGTGTCAAAGTTCCGTGGGATGGGTCTGGTGCTGGGGGCTGGGAGAAATTAAAATCCCACTTCACTTTCTTTCTCCCACATGGAAGATGTTTCTTTCCACAGACTGCACTATACAGACTTTGGGGAAGGGTAACATAGGTACTGTGAACTATTTTCCTTCCCATCCTCTTCTTATTTTTTTTTTATTTCACGTGCTCTATCAAGGTGCTGTGATGTCTCACCTGGACTCCTTAGCTCTTGTGAAGGTATTTTCTTGTGTGGTGAATATCCCAATTAATGAATCCATGAGAGGACAAGTATTGAAAGTTACTATTTTAGCATCTTGATGACATTATTCCATTGATTTCTTATTCAATAATTAAAAGCACTATTAATGCACATTTAAAATGCACATTTTAAACAATAGTATTGAATAAGTATTGATTACCAACAAAGCTTAGCTTTTTGATAAAAAATGATTTTTAAAAAAGCTTAGCTTTTTTCCTAACTACTCATTAAAAATTTTAATATAAAACTTAAATGCTATTGCTTGTAATATAAAACCCAGATAATTCTTAGACAAAATTGCTCAGCAGCTATTGCATAGTGATGATACCTAGCATCCCTGCCTGGCAATAAGACTTGGCTGGGTTTGTTTTTTCTCCATAAAAAGGCACTTTACCAACAATTTTTCTATTAAAGAAAATCCATGCCTCAGCCTAGATAAGAAGGAAGCTAGTTATAATCAATATTATTCCTAGGTTTGTCTATTAAATTAATTCTTATTTAAAGGATGGACAGAGTAATGGGGTGCAATCAAATGCTAAATAAATAGCACATTATTAAAGAAAGGGGATTGCATAGCTGAGATGACATTAAAGAGTAGAATAAAACACTCCTGGGTTGGGGTTGGGGCTGAGTGGTAGAGAGCTTGCCTAGCATGTGTGAGGAACTGGGTTCTATCTTCGGCACCACATAAAGATAACAAAATAAAATAAAAGGATTGTGTCCATCTACAACTAAAAATATTTTAAAATAAAACACTCTTTACCTAATAAAAGGCACAGAAGAGTTCTAAAGTCTCTTGAGCTATCAAAGTCTGAGTCAGACCAAAGACAAATATCTAAATATAGGAATATCAAGTATCAAAATATAAGAATAATTACTAATTTTTATGTAGTGTTTATCTCCACAGTTCTTTCAAGAAAATTGTATTTAGTCCTTGTAATAAACCTTAGAATGTTTGAGGGTAGAGTCTAAAATTTCTTACTATTGTAGTCAATAAAATTTTAATGGATGAATAAAAGAAAAATAACTTAGTCAAAATGAACAAGGTGGAGGAAATTGGGTTCGATTTGGTCTTATTGCTTCAAATACCTGTTTATTTTATAAATTTTGCTTCATCTTTCTATAGAGAATAACCAAATATTTGATATATCTTTTCTCTTTTTTGGATTCAAAAATTAAATTTGAAGAGTTCTTCAGAACTCATACACTCTTTCACGATTAGTTAACAATAATGCATTATATATCTTAAAATAGAGAGAATTTTGAATATACTCATCACAAGGAAATGATAAAAGTTTAAGTTAATATGCTAATTAGTCTGATTTGAGAATTATAAAATGTATATACATGAACAAAAACATCACATTATGCCACATAAATATGCACAATTATTATATGTCAATCAAAAATATTTTTAAAACTCAAGTATTGACCACTTTTTAATAAAGGAGCAGACAGTACATATTTTTATCCTTTTAGATCATTTTTAAAATTACAATTCTTTTATTTTAGTATTAAAAAAACACACAAGGTGGGGAATTAGGGAAGAGTAGAATTACTTTGGACTAAACAAAAGAGAATGAAGAGAAGGGGGAATGGGAATAGAAAAGATAATAGAATGAATTGGATATTACTATCCTCTGTGCATATATAATTACTTGACCAATGTAGTTCTACATCATGTACAACCAGAAGAATGAGATGTTATACTCCATAAAAATAAATAAAATAAAATTTAAAAAAACACAGATCACATGTAAATTAATAGGTGTGGGTGTGTTCCAATACAACTTTACTTATGAATGCTAATATTCCAATTTCATGCAATTTTCTTGTGTGTCAAAATATTTTTTTCTTTTGATTTTTTAAAAACATTTAGAAGTGTAAAAGCTGCTCTTGGCTTCTGAGCCCAACTAAAACAGGCAGCTACTTCATAGATTTTACTTTACCAATTGCTGTTTAAATTAATGATAGTAACGAAAAGAACTCAATTACCTTGTCTAAGAAATTAAAAACAATCAGCCAAATCGCTCTTATTTTAGTGAATTCTATGTTCAGGGAAAAGAGTATTTATTAGAATTTTCTTGTGAATTCTCTTTAATGCTATCTAAACGGGTAAAGGTGGTAATTTTGGAAAAGTTATCAGTGGTAGAGTGTTACTTTGTTCCGGTGACTGATAAACAGTGGCAGAGAGATTTGGGAAAAGAAAAAATTTCCAAAGTGTCCTCTTTTTCTACAATTTTATGATGTGCAATCAGTTCAGTGTTGAATCTGTCCAGGAATCAGGAAAGGAAATGCTAGCACTAACAAAAGAGAGTTTTCCTGCCTGAAAACATAAATCATACTATTTATTTTTAAACAAATTTTTTTTTTGAAAACCAAACGTGCCTGTCCAGGCGTATTTACAATCAGAGAAGAGAGCAAAATTCAAATACTGCATACACTGTGGGAAAAACAAAGACATCATGCCTAGTACCCACAGAGTAACGAAGAATATATTCAGTGAAAAAAGATACAGAAGTGCTCCCTATAGAAGGGAGAAGTGGTGGATGAAGGAGACATTTCTAAGTTAAAGAGACAAAAAGATACTAGTCTTATTTGATGCAGAAAGAGAAGGGTCTGGCTTTCTCCTGGGCTGTGTGTTGCATTGCAAGATGGCTCAAGTACTGTGGTGTCATCAGAGCATGTCTATAAGGTCATCTGTCATGTTTCGAGTGTGATTTCTGCATTCGTTCATTCACTCAACAGCTTTTTTTTTTTCTTTTATTCTTGCGGTTGGGTAAGAGAGGGAGAAAGTGAATCATCTCACCCGTGGGCTCCTGATTTTGAGGGAGTCAATTTCATGTGTGTTTTTTGATCCATCCATTCACTGTTAACTCTCAAGGAGCACATATTCATCTCATTTTGAAGAAGAAAATATAAATCTGAAAAAAAAAATTTCATCTGAGAACATCATTTTCCATTATTTTCCAAGTTCCCATGGACACATGTTTGGATTAAATTGTTATTCTTCTGCTAAGTCAATGAAGACATTCTCTACATCTGGAATGGTGGGATCGTGTTTTAGTAGAGACTTTGTTAAACATTCTCATGAGAAACATACATTCTGTGTGAAAACTAGGCAAACATCCCCCTGAAAACATTCTTTTGATCTCATGGAAAGACTTCCCTCATTCCAATCCACAAATCAGGGCCGGCCAAGCTACGTAGGATCTGCCTTCTCATTTGACCTAAGACTTTTGTTGTGGTTTTTCTCAACAGGAGGCAAGACATGAAATCCTGGAGAGGCGTGAGTTCTTTGCCAACACCCAGCAGAGCCTGAGATGGTGCTTGCCAAGTACAAAGTTTAAATTTTAGTTTGGACTGTGGACTTGTTTCTTGTATATAAAGCTTCCCGCTTTCAGTGTTGACTTTGGGAATCACATGAAGATTTCAGGTTTCTCCTCTGCCATTTCCAGATGTTCATTTCCTTAGAATTAATGAGAGTATATTTCCTGTGTGTCATAGGAGTTTCCTTTCCATCTTCCTTTTTTCTTGAAGTGGAATATTAGACTCTGACCTCCTGTTCTTTAGCAAGTCCTTCGTCTTCTCTGGACAGTCTCTATGGGACAAAGGTATTTACTCCTTATTAGCTCAGATTTTAACAGGACTTAAAGAAGAAAGACCTTCCTGTTGGAGGAGTGTCCTGTTTGGTACCAAAAAGGACACACACTGATCGACAATGAAAAACAAACAGAGTGGTTTGTGTTAGCTCTGCATTAATAACTTTGAAACCTTGGGAAATGCACTAAATTTCTTCTAGGTTATTCATCTATATAGTGTGATTAGTTAAACTGAATTTTAGTCAGGATAGGCTTGTTTTTGCTTTGGTAACAAAGATGCCCCAAATTTCAGTTATATAAAGAAACAAGGGTTTTCAAATGTCCATGGTGGATTGGAGGTTCTTAGACCTGGGTAGATACTTAAGGACTCAGGCTCAGTACCTTGTCAAATGCTGCCCAAAGCAACCAACACCTCCTACAAACTTATTAAGATCTTGAGTTAACTGAATATGCAATATGCTTTCAGTTAGTTTCAGGTAAGTATTTCCTAAATATTTTGCCATTGAAAAACACAGGCTGCCATCCTTTAGGCCTCAACAAACAGTTTTTTCACCTGACACTGCTTGGTTCCTAAACTAATAACATATCTTTATTTATATATAATAATTTCTATATATGCCCATAAGTATGGATTATGCTATGATGCCATATAACTTCCATAAATAATTTCTTAAAAATCGTGAAAAATATTTCTCACTGAAGACATATCCCATTAGGGTTGGTTGGATGTTTATTCATTTCAGTCATCCAGGGTCTAACTTCAACAAAGTTTATCCACCACATCTAAGATTCTTGATTTCTATTCCAAAGAACTAAGAAGACCATCGAGGGTTTCACAGCAGCATAGGTCCCTTCTACTCAGACCTCAATGCCAAGAAAAAGGGCACACATTCCCCCTAAAAGGACTTAACTTTGTGCCCAGAAAGGAGAAACTTATAAAAAAATTTGATGAAAAGGACTGATGACTATCAGAAGCTAGGTAAACTTTATCTCCCTTTCAGTCATATTATTTCTATGACATATCATGGCATATTACATTATGATATTGCATTTTGTGATATTTATGATATTCAATGATATTATTCTATTACTTTATTATTCTATGGTTCAAAGAAGTCTTTGGGCCCTCACCCTAAGCCACTTCTGTGATAATCATTATGTATGTAAGAGGTAGTTTAATACCTAAAGAAATATCCCTGGATCTGTATAAATTTCAGTGCCTATGAATATATATCTATCCATAACACTAGGAGAAAGTATATAAACGACATTCAGCTCACACCTCCTAAGCTACTGTGCCATGATTTTTCTGGGACGAACATAGTCAATTCTAGAAAAGTCTCAAATCAGGGTTGGAAAAAAGACACAGCCCTCTCAGCTGTTCTCATCCAGTGTGTGGGTTGGCATTGACAGCACTGAATTTGTTGGCAGCCAACTTACCCCCATTTCCCGGCTGTTCTGAAGGACTTGCTGTGACAGCAGTCATGAACAGAGGCATCCTTGTTTGGTGAGGTTGTATAGTATTTTAAGCACACTGATTGATGTTTAGCCTAGAAACCACTGTAGCTTGGTTGCATAAAAGTTGCTAAGCCCATATATTGACACAAAATATGGCTTGTATAATGGCCAGAGAGACATATTTTCCAGTTCTGTCATCTCTTTGTCCTTTCCTTACAGGAAGTAAGGGAAAATAGATATGCTCTGTTGTGATTGTCTGTGCAAATGTTATAGTTATTAAGACTTCAGGTTAAAAAAAAAAAAAAAGAAAATTTCTTCCCCAATATGTGACCTACAGCCTGCAGACAAAATAACAGAGACAGTATCTTTTATCAGGAACAAGTATAGCTTCATTCTGGGGAAAGGAATGATGGGATTATATGAAATTTAACTAGCTCCCAACATATAATTATGTCCTATAGAAGTTTAAGCTTCTAGATGAGAAGTTCTAGAGTCATCTTTGGCAGCTGTGTCTGCAGCCTTTCAGCTGTAGGACTTCATGCAGTTATTTAATCTCTCTGTGCTTGTGTCCTCATAAGTGGATACATTACCATATGTAAATCCCTTGGTCCATAGTAGGAAGTGTGCAACCTCGTGGGCTCAGAAACCAGTAGAGACTGATGAATATACAATCTACTGTAATTTTACCTCTAAGTAGTGGACAGAAGGAAAATTCTTCAAGGCCTTCATGAATTTAAGGATGCTCTTGGAAAGGATAGTACTAAGCAGTTCCCCCTGTTCTACCAGGGCTTCCTGCAAAAGTTTGAGTTCAAAAAGTCTTGTTTGCTTCTGTGTTTTGAAACTCAGAAGATTTGTTCACAAAGACTCAAGTTCAGAATTTTCTGCATCCCGGAACATTATGAAACATGGAAGCCACGTTTTGGAGACTTGATTCAATCTATTCCTCTCAATCCTTTTTAGGAGAAAAGAATTTTCCCTCACTGAAAAGTTGCCAGCAACAGTAACACAACTCTTCATAACTTGGAATGCCATCTTCAACTACCTAGTCACATTGGACTGTGTTGGAGATAGTCTCATTCAACATATATTCAGTTATTCTATTCCTAGAAATGACCACAGAAATCCCAGGAGAAGAGAAGGATGTAAAGAACAATTTGAACTTAAAATCAAATCGATTACTTTTTTTTTTTTCTTTTTAGAAATTTGGAAAAGATGTAGAATTCTATGTGGACATCTTATATGGGGGTGTAGATTTGGCAGCGGCAATAACAGTGTCATAACTGAGAAGGAGGTTTGTTTCACTTTCCTGTGCAAGTCTAAACTATATAGTAGCTCCCTCCCTGCAAACCAGCTCCCCGAAATTCCGATCCTCCATCTCTGGGATGTTACTCTCATCACTAGGGTACTAAACGACTTCCCCCAATTCCACATTCCATAAAGCAGGAATGTTATTTCAGAAAAGTATAGCACAAATTACTGAAATGTAAAGTGCAAAAATACTAGAACATGATTAATTTTAACTTATGATGTAGCCAGTTTTTAATTGAGTGCTTCTAAAACAAATCTCATTTTAGTTTTGTGCCCGCACCATCTTTCTTGCATTTAGCTGGGGATGTGTTTACTTTCTAACTGGAAGAAGGATCCATTCCTAATTCTTCTGGATTTAAAGCAGGACTGTTTCCTCCATCTCAAGGACAAATCTCTCTCTCTTTCAACTCCATTCCCTGGGGAGGGGCGCAGGTTCACATCTGGAAACCCCATCATGTTCCTCCCATCACTGTGACGTCACTCTTGTGTGCTTTCAATTTCCTCCACCCCTCTTAGGTACAGAACAGATGCTTATGATACAGCATGGAACCTTTACTCCCCCTTTTTTGGTGCTATCTTTAAATATACGAGGAAAGCATTTTGGAGATTATATCAAGAAGGTTCAAATTCCCAAACTTACTCAGTAACTTCCCAAATTACCAAGTCACCTTTTATCCTGAAGTTCTAGAAAGGAAAGCTTAGAGAGATTTGGTGAAGAAATTTGTTTTTTTTTTTCAAAGATGTTCTAACTTATCCTTTAATGATAATCTGCAAAAGACTTTCATGTTTTTTGGATTAGAACCCCTGGAGTCAGAAACATTGTCCCACAGGTGTAAGCATTTGATGTTTTCATAAGTGCAATGTACAACTTCATACATGGTGGAACACTTGCTTCACAACATGGAGATTAGTGACAATGGCTTTGCTAAAGAAACTCTTCTCAGAAAAAAAAATGTGTCTGTTGATTCCTAATGAGGAAATCCCCAAATGTCAAGTTGATAGTTTCCAGATGTAGAAGGGATATGAAGAGGCTTTGAGGAAATTTGAACAAGTACAGAAATCTACATAAAGCAACAATGACTTTTGGTAAAAGGAAATAGATCCAGGGAACATGGTGGTGGTATTGGCTCTGATTGGTTTTTGGGAAGCATGTGGGCTGGGTGGGAAAAGTGCTGGAAATTTCCCAGAGTTCCTGTGGTAGGCTCCAGCTTGACTGCTCATCTCAGCTCTTCCTGTGATATACTTGAGAAGGTTGCTGACAGGGAGAGCACGTGGATGAGTACAAATTGTTTTCCTTTGCTCATGATTATACTTAGCTCCTAATCAGGAAGAGGCTGAATATCTTTAAGAAAATCTAAAAGACTTGATTGTATGTCCCTGTCATCAGAAAATAGAATTTAGAAAAGGTGACTGCAGATTATATTTCATTTTCATTACAGTAACTCTCTACCTTTTCCCAATCTTCTTGATGTCCTTAATTTATTATTTTCTCCCCCCAGATAGGCTGTGCATGCATCATAGTAAAGTAGCCAAAGGAGCTACTTCTAAACTACACTTGGAGTCAGAAAACTAGTGGCGTGTGATTGGAACAGATCACCTAACTTACATCCACCATAATTTTCAAATCTATAAAACAAGAATTATGACCCATACCTAATTCTCAGGCATGCTGTGAGCATCAAGTGTGATTATGAAAGTATTTTGTAAATTAAAAAGGGATAAACAAATATTGGTTGTTAATTGTCTTAATTTTGTCTTGGAGGAAAAGAATTGATATTGAATTGTGAATTTCTTGGATGATTTGAAGATGCAGAAATAAAACTACCAAAAAAGGATCAATGTCCCAAATTTCTCTAATTGTTAGCAGGACAAAATATATCTTCAGGAAGATATCCAGTGTACTTTGATGCACAAACAAACCACCTGCAGCTTTTGTGTTTTGTTTTGTTTTTCCCAAATGCAAAATCGATTTGAATGGAATCTGAGATTCTGGTTTCTAGAAGCTTCCAGGTGATGTCTATACTGCTGGTCCACAGACTGCACAAGGGGTTGCAATGAATGAAGGAGATTGGGGTGAAAGCAAAAGTTAACACAGATGAAGAGTGTGATAAAGACAGAGACTTCCTGTCTGCTGTTCCTTCATCCTGGTACATACTGGCAAAGTGACCTATGGGATAAATAAAATGGAAAAAAAATAAGTAAAAATAAATAAAATGGAAAAAAAAGAATTCTTTCTGTTAAAACTGTACCTGGATGTGGTTTGTTGTTCTTCACTGATCATCTTTCTTAGGAAATAAATCTAGTGCAAGAAACACAAAGAAAAAACTCTGGCCTCACTAGGAACATATCAGTCCTGCCTATGGTCTTTGACCTACCTGGTAGAAGACGAGGGAAATTCAGTTTGTAAAAGAATCATGGCGTATTCTGCCAACTGGGAAGTGATCCAAGGATGATAAAATCATTAGTTACTGTGACCTTAGCTGTATTTAAAAGGTATTCTCTTGGGAGTCCTGGTAGAACTTGCCTTGATTGGACATTGTGAACTAACATCCTTGTCATTCACATTTAGAACCAAATGACTTCCTTTTGGCATTTGCACAGTGATTTGGTAGCTTGCCATGATATTATGCATTGTTCAGAATAATTTTCCATGTTACTGAGGTCGATTTCCCTGATTTATAGCTATTTCTAAAAGTTGGCTCTCAAAAGAGGTGGAGAAGTCAAGAAGAAAATAACTTTATAATAAACTACTGCAAACAAAAAGCAGATGGTGAAATTCTTGAAATAGTTTAGTAATTCTATAAAAGTATAGGCTTACGATATATGACTCTTGTTGACCAAATTCGAATATGCAGCTGTTATGCATTTTTTTTAAAGATTCAAGAATGTCTTGGTTCTTTGTTAGCAACTGAAATAACTACCCTGTGAAAATACGCTGTTCTGATTTGTAACAAAGCTACCCAGGCACGTACTTGGTTGAGGCACTATTCTCTTAAGATTCTCTGCTTACCAAGGGACCCCACTTGGATTACCAGAATCTTGATCTCAAAGGTCTGTAGGGGAACATACAGTGAAATATTCAACTACAACAACTCATGGGGACCTTTGAGTCAATATTTTAGGTTCAAATTAGAAAAGAACTCATTTTGCTGAGTGAATCCCATCTATATAATAAGAACTCTATTCTATTAGGGAGAATATAAGAAGACAGAAATAGAACACTAGTTTGGCTCTATTGTTAATTTCCTGTATCTTTTAAAAGGATGAACGTGGCTGATGCACGTGCAATCAATGTGCAGTCTCTGTCCAAACTGGCAGTTTGTGTCAGCACAGAAATCTGTTTTAGGTTCCATGTCAACCTTTGTTGCCCTGGAACGATCCCATCCATGTGCAAGGGTTTTTAACATTGCAGGCAATTCTTAGGCCAGCAGCCTTATTACTCAAAAGTCTAATGCTGAGTTTTCACTAAGTCTATTTCTACGGCTTTAGCCATCTCTGTTAAAGGGGTGGTCTGTGCCACCAAAACACTGTGGAAGGTCCCCCTGGCAATTGTTTACAAGCTGGGGGATGGCTGTTGCCTTTCTGCTCTTTATCTGACATCAGGTGCTAATGGTTTTATCACTCTGAATGTGGCAGAAAATCCTCTTTCAACCTGATTACAAATAGAAAAAGGTCTCTTTTATTCTGCTGCAATATGGAAGGTACTGGATGAACTCAGAGCACCTCTCCTTCACCTCCACTGTCAAGAGGAAATGGATGATTTTTTAAAAAAATTCTCTTTTTACTGAGATCACCTGGCATTAATAATTTTCTGTGGTTATCTGTAGAATAAACAAGTGAGATAAATTTTTTTTCTAAAATATAACTATGTTCCTGATATATAAATAAATATAGGAAATCATGAAATCCCTACAAAATCCCATCACTTAGAGATAATCAAAGTTGATATTATTCATGAACACTCTGAAAATAATTCTTTCTTTATATTCTTGAGCAAGTTAGTCCATCCTTCAAAGTGTAAGCATCTTTTCCCTTCCCATAGAAATCGAACAAAGAATAGTACCCATCATTAAGGGTGTTTGGAGATTTAGATGAATTAGTTCATATAAAATGTGTGACTTACCATATGTCAATAAATAGCTAAAAAGAAGCCAGGCATGGAATTGCCCACACCTGCAATTCCAACAGCTCAGGATGCTGAGGTAAGAGGATCACAAGTTCAAATCCAGCCTCAGCAAAAGCAAGGCACTAAGCAACTCAGTGAGACTCTATCTCTAAATAAAATACAAAATAGGGCTGGAGATGTGGCTTAGTGGTCAAGTGCTACTGAGTTCAATCTCTGGTACCCCCCCCAAAAAAAAACTAGCTAAAAAGATTTAATCATATTATAATTACCATGTATTCATATTTATAATTAATAGGAATTTTATTTCTAAAAATGGGATTGAACTATGCATGTTACTTCGTAGCTTTTCTTCACTTAGGAACATGTTGAGACTATCCTTCCACATCATGTGAATACAGACTTATGCCATTATTTTCAACTGTTGCATAATATTCCATAAGACCAACACAGTCATATTTGTTAAAGTTTTGTTTTTTCCCTTGATTTTTCTCACTGGTACATCTTTGCACATTTTCTTTAAGTTCCTAAAAGTGGAATAACAGGTCAAACAATCCATATCTAAAAGTAAGTTTTTTAATAAATCAGCTTAAGGAACTAAAAATCTAATTTTTTTAACAGTCATATTTGATAGGCAAATGAGAGAAACCTGGTGATCTGCTGCATACGTAAGTGGTGATGACAATGGCTTTGAGGGAGTTTATCTGATTCAGATTAAGATCCACTGCCGGCTGGTTGTGTGATCTCAAATAACTTAATCAGTCTGAGCCTCAGTTGCCCTATCTGTAAAATAGGAAATATTCTTTCTCTCTCTCTTTTCTTTTTTTACAGTGCTGGGGCGCCAACCCATGGCATCACACTTTAGGCAAGCACTCTGCCACTGAACTATATCCCCAGCCCTAGATAGGAATTTTTAAAAGGACTCACTTTATAGGTTATTTTGAGAATGAAATAGAATTACACAAACAAGGACTAAGAATAGTGCCTTTGAGTAAAACCTCAATAGTTATTTGATTTTTTTCCCTCATAGATTAAATGAGATAGAAAACAGTAATTGTCTACTGAAATTGATCTTTCTGTAACTTGGAAGAAATGATCTAATTTTTCACAACTTTTTCCCCCCAAAAAACTATTAAATTGTTTTTTTGATTTGTTTTAAATTCATTTTTCCCCACATGTCTGATCTAGAATTACTGGAGGAACTGCTTTGATTTGTGGCCGATAGATGTCCAAATCATGTGAGCTAGGCAGGCTCTGAGATGCTGCTTTCCAATGCTGTGGATTTTGTTGTCATTAGTACAGCGATTGCCTTAAACCCTAAGGCACTAACAGAACGAAAGCTTTCCTTGGCTCTGTTGGATGCTTAGCCATAAGATAGAAAAGAAAACAATTTTTAAAAGGCTGAAAAGTAACAGCTATTCTATTTTGTTCTGCAAAATGAATTTATCTTGTTTCCCCAACTGACCCTCTCAAGGTAGTGTGTTATTACCAAAGGAGTAAATTTAAGGTAAGATGCAGGGGTAGGTCTTAATTGAATTCTTTAAAAAATTTTAGAATATGTCTTGACATTTGTTTTGAGTTTCTTCTTTAGACTCTCTCAGTTAATGTCATTCATCAGTCATGCGGACTATTTAAAGGAGACAAAAGTAGAATTTGACCTTTGTACTTAAGTAGTTTCCCAGACCAACAAAAGTTCGTAAAAATATCTAAGATCAGTACTGAGTGTCATAAGAATTTCCACTTCATCAAAAAAGTGAAATTGCCAGATGGCTCCTTTGAACACAGGAAGATTTTCCCATAGGCTCACATAGGCCTGGCCTTGCTGCATCTCTTTGGCCATGAGACTGCAGAGACTGCCAGTATAGCAGGTAAGAGACCATGGTGAGCAGTATGTCCCTGGGGCATCCTCTGAGACAAACGGGTAGGCAGGGCAGGGAATGTGCACTTCACGTTAGGCATGGCTAAGCCATTGCAGCAGCCTTAAGATAAATATTTTATTTAAGTGGCACTATGGATGCTGAGGTTGAAGAAATGTCACTAAGAGAACCTCTAAGGAGTCTTGCTGTGCCATCCAGGTAAGATTCTTAGTAAAGGGCAATGGATGATATTGCAAAGGACTATTCCACATCTGTGTTACATATCACTTATTCTCCTTAAACCCAGTCTCAAAAAAACATGGATGCATGAGATTTTTTTTTTTTCTCATCCAACCTCCCTCAACAGGTTCCTGTTCTCCACCCTTCTTCAAGGTAGGGCAAGCCTACCTTGAAGGCAGGGCTTGTCCCCATTCATCTTTCTTTCTCTACTATTTGTTCAATCTGTCTCTGCTCATGGAAGCTAGGTTGTGATTTACCAAGCAGGGTACTTGTTTAAGGAGTTGTTGTGAAGAATCTTGAGAACAATCACTGTAGAAATCGCATGGTGTTTTTTGGTTTTGGTTTTATTTTGTTTTTTTTTTTTCTGTATTCTCTGAGATTAAGAAAGTAGAATGGCTGGCAGGGAGTGTTATTTTCTGTCCTGGCAGCTTTGAATCATACTTTTGCTTTCTGGAGTAAATGCTGCCAACCGTGAGAGCTCTTATTTATGGCGTGATGACATTGCCTTCTACTTTCTCCAGTGAGAACATCTCATTAGGAGAGATTTATGTTCGTTTATGTCACCTGGGAGTTATTTCAAGTACCTTCCCTCCATTTTCACCCAGGATGACCAGACAGTTTGGACTGAAAGTAGACAAATAGGCTTAAATGTAGACCTTTGCTGACTGTGGAAGGTCTGACTAAAAGTGACTTCACCTGTCTACCTGCTGAATCAGCAAAATGGCTGTAAATCAGCAGGAAGCCTGATGGGTCTCATGGGAATTCTGGACTCAATGAGCTATAAAGACAGTTCATAAAAATCACAGGAGAACTGAAAGGGCTTCCTTCTGTACTTTTCTGACTATTCCTTGCATTTACCCCACCCCAATGTTTAGCACTTATAGCAACATTTCAAAAAGTTAAAGCCAAGATGTGGCCAGTGCGTGATACACATAGTGGGCCACTGGAAACAAACTGATCTAGTTTGTCCTCCTTGTTCAAGCAGAAATAAGTCTTAATCATATTACTCATTCACAGACTCCCT